GGTACTGTTGTAAGAGATGGTACTTTATTACTGTGGTTCTGCAGTTGAAGAAATTGAGACACAGATTTCATAATATGCCCAAGGTCACCCAAAAAGTAGCACAGCCATGGTTGAATCTCAGGCAGTCTGCCTCCAGAACCTATTGTACTTAACACCTCTTTGGACTTGTTGGATTCAGGACGCCTTGTAGCATTTCCATTTAACATCCTTTTCTTCATCCTTAAAATGGGAACCATAATGTCTGATCTGCTTGTTTCATGAGTCCAAATGGAGTCCACTTAATTCCATAAACAGCCCCTGCATGACCATGTCATGAATAGGCTGTGGTTCTTGTTCTCAAGTTGTTCATTGTCTACAGAGGAACCAGACAAGTAAACGACTAAAATTCAGCATAAGCTTGTAAATGTCAATGCTATATAGTCTGGAGGAACAGATAAATGCCAACAGTTGTTTAATATTTCCATGACACCTATTTTCTCTTGCATCTCTAAGGAAACGGCTGAAAAAACCAAGAGAGTGAGCACCAAAGAAATCTAATGAGGAGGCACAGGACAGTGTCTGAAGCCCAGCACCTTCTCTTCCACTTCAGCACTGAGTCCAGCATACACAAGTGTCTGCTACAGCCGCCAAATCACCAGTATTTGCTTATATAGCAATGAGTTTCATTTTGTTTATTTGTTTTGCAATAATGGATATGAAGGTGGCTGGCTATGAGGGGAAGGGCCATAGCCTTCATTTCTAGGAGTGCTTTAAGAGAAACTGTAAATGGTGCTCTGGGGCTGGAGGCTAGTAAGGAAACTGCATCACAATTGAGAGAGGAGCAGACCCAGATCTGAACCCCTTTTGAGTTCATGGCAGCTGTCAGCAGGTTGCAGGGAGAACATAGCAATGCCAGAGAAAACTTAGCAAGGTGTCCCTGGAGGAGGGGTTTGGGAAGCTCCATGGAGAGGAACGCTGTCTGCTTCCAGCCTCTTTCCATTGCCATCAGCATGACAGACTTCCAACATCCATGCATCTCTTGGTCCCAATAACTGCCTCTAGATACATAGCCATCCTGCTGGTTACCCAATGTCCCTCAGACTTGGATGTAGTGTGTGGAAGTGTATGCCCAAATGATGCAGATATTTGTATACTTCAAGCCCCTTAGTGACCTAACCAAATTTTTAAAACACTTTTTACCAAAGGTGCTATTTCTCTGTAACACTTTTTTTTCCTGCAAGTTGACTTTATTCTTCAATTATTATCATTATATTATTGTTTTTTAATATTTTATTTTCTTGACTAGGTATTAAGCTTTTATAATTATTTTTCAGTAGTCCAACCACTTCATAGGTGGAAGGAGTTTGGGGTTCTTCCTGGTGCAGGGGCTCAAATAACCCAGATGCCCCCAGCCTGCCACATCCTAGATGCAGCCCGTAGTTGGCCCCCCTAGCTTCCAACAGTCCACTATCTGCCAGCAGTGTAGGGGGTGCCTCAGACCAAAGCCAGGGGAAGAAGCATCTTCGTAAAAAACTTTCAAAATCCAAAGATTAATTTGTTTTTATTTATTCTGAGAAGTTCAGGCAAATTCATATTCCAAAGGATGGAGACAAGTGCAGCCAAGCAGGGCTTAGGATATCCCAGCCCACCAATGTGCTCATTGGCCTACTACTAACTAGGAGAGTGAGTCGGCCCTGTCTCCTCCTTTTTCTGGACCTCAGTTTCCTCAGTGAGCTGGTAAGAATGCATTAGCCTTTTGATTTGATAAATTATAGATTCTGTGATTCTGATCATTGGTCCAGAGGGGAGCTAGATACCTATGATTTTTCCTTCTTTTCTGTAGAATAAATGAAACCTTGTTGTTAGAACAAGAAATGTCAGATGGCCAAAAACAAGATGACCAAATTTGATCTCAGCCTGATGACCCTACAGGTTGTGCTGTGATACAGAGTCCTCATGGGTAAAACAGGAAGAGAGCGGGAAAGAGAACCACCTCACTCTTCATAATTGCATTTCCTGTTTAACCTCTGGCTGGAAATAGAAAGCATTCCCTTTAGAGATGAGCATTCCCTTTAGAGATGAGGATAAAGAAAGTTTCTAATTTAACAGGGGGAAAAATATGGAGATTTAATCTTAAAACTGTGACTTGGGGAGGTCAATCGTTTACACTTACTCCTATGTCTTTCGACTTCTGTGATTATTAACCCCACTCACTACCCTGTTTAAGATGCATTTGGAATACCAAAGATTAAACCCTTGACATAAGATCTCATTTGCAGAAAGCAGATTAAAGACCATCAGAAGGAAATTATTTAGGTTGTAATGCACAGTCAACGCTGTGCCAAAAATAAAATTCCTTCTAAATTGTTTTCCTTGTTCTCATTTGAAAGGAGAAAGTTCCACTTTGTTTAGCATTTCAAGCTTTTACGTACCATCCTATTTAAAAACTCTCTCCAAACCCCACTTGTGCAGTCTGAATTACAGCTCCCTGTCCAAGTGCCTTGGAGAACTCACAGCAGCATGCCTTAATCAAAAGTTTTGCCAGTCCTTGGACATTGTGGGAGAGGGCAAGAGTACCAGTTTGTTACAAGCAAGAAACCAGTGTCTCTTCACTAGTTACAGATAGAACAGTGGTTACCATCCAAGACTACTCTACCCTGAAACCAACATTGTACTCCCAAGAGCAAATCCACATTCCTCTTGAGTTCTGCTGCTTCTGTGTAAATAGGGCAGCTGTTGTCTTTGCCATAGAAACATATGATCTAAGGACCATTCATGGAAAGCTGCTAAATAGCCTAGTTTGGGGAGTCTTGCATAAAGCTTTGCATGAAGCAAACAGGATTAAATCAGGTTCAGTTCCTTTAGCCCTCTAAAAGCATAGGGCTTATCCTGCAGGCTTCCTTGGGCTTTCTCTGTGTGTGTAGTTTTGTAAGCACTATAGCATCTGTTAAGATCCAGTGTCCATGGAAACTTTCCCACATGCTGTGTGTGACTCTGGACTCTATCACTGTTTTTGGAAACCAGTGCTTCTCTGCCTGCTAACAAGCCTATGTGGACCAGTCTGAATGTCTTTCCTTTACACCTATGTTTTTAAATAGTCAAACTTCAAGAAACAATCTAAACAAGTTTCTGTTGCATATGTGTTTGTGAACTTGTATTTGTATTTAGTAGGCTTCCATATTGCATTTAACTTGTTTTTGTAACTCCTGATTCTTTCTTTTCAGATACTATTGATGAATAAAGAAATAAAATTGGTATTTTATTGGTTTCCTTTCTCCCAAATAAGGCCAAATAAAGTTGTGAGACATGACCCATTTACTTCCTAAGAGTGGATTTGAATTTCAGGAGCCTTAAAAAGGACTGAAGCGTTTCTCCTGGAACTGCAGCTTGGATGGAAAGTTTACTCAGGGACTGGTAGAGCAAGTTTCTGTGAAAGGATCATGGATAGTGGGTCTCGGGTAAGAGGTGATGAGAAGTCAGAGTGTCTTAGTCCCTTCAGGTTGCTATAATAAAATACCTCAGACTAGGTAATTATCAGAAATGTATCTTAGGTTGGGAAGCCTAAGATCAAGGTGTCAGAAGATTCAGTGTCTGGTGAGGGCTTGTTCTCTGCTTCAAAGATGACACCTTCTTGATGCATCCCCACATGGTGGAAAGGGTAAACAAACTCCCTTAGGCCCCTATTATAAGGGCACTTATCCCGTTCATAAGGGTTAACCTTTCATGATCTAATCATCTCTCAAGAGCCTCACCTCTTAATACCATTGCTTTGGGGATTGTTTTAACACATGAATTTTGGGGGGACACAAACATTCCAGGTAAACGATAGCAAGGACTTGAAGGAACACTTCCCGCAGAGTAAGTAAGAGGAAGACAGGAATAGGAGGCTTGTTGCTGGGAATAGGTGCCAGAGGCAGCGTCTTCCTGAGTTCCTCATCCCATCAGACTATGAATGAAGCAGTTAGTTCCTGGCTTTGAGTTTCCAGAACCTCTCAGTCTAATCACTTGTAGTGGCTAAGTGAAGGAAACATCTATGCAGTTTCACAATAAAGCTATATCCATTAACACAACCTGTTGAGTAATTTTTGTTTAGTCCCAAGAGCATCCACTATAATTTTTTTTTTACATAGTAGGCACTCAAGAAAACAACTGGAATATAATGGAATGAAATAATTATGACCAGTTTGTGTTACTTCTGGAATTCATGCTATGGGGGCTGATTTCTTTCTGATCTGCCACCAACTGCAATTTCCCTCTGGGTTCTTTGGATTAAATTCCTGGAAGAGTGAGGGGGGAAAAAACCACCTCTGCTTCTGTTTGGGCAGTACCTTATAAGATAGGCCACCAGGCAGTCTGTTAATGGACTTACCGTGGTCAGCCTTCCACTATGGCTCTAATCAACAGAGCTTCTGGAGCAGGGTCATATGATACCAGGATGGCACCCCAAATTTTGTTTGGTTCAGCTGCCTCTCATCTAAGTGCTCTGCTCCAGTTTTGTGTGTGAAGCCCACAAAACCCCCAATCCTTAAGACAGGTGCCATATAATTCCAACAATCACAATATTACAAAGTACCATCAATGGAAATACGCCACTTGTAATACTGACACTATTTGCAAGATCTTATTGCTTTAAATCATTAAAAATAACACTAAACTAAGCTCAAGAGAGCAGCGTGGTGTAATGGAAAGAACATGGACTTTGGAGTCACATAGCCCTAAGGCTGAATTTCTATTTAGCCTTTCACTCTGTGTGATAGACTTTACTATGATTTTTGAGCTTGAGTTCCCTCCTTTCTAAAATGAGGATAAACATTCTTTCATAAATGTGGCAATAAGTAGAATGACATTTTTTGAGGTTTGTGATAAAAGTAGGTGTTTGATAAAAGTTCCTTTTCAACTAAAACATAGTATTTACAAATATATTCAGTGTTTCAAAAGACTTAAAGTATCCGAAACTACTATGGACCAGGTACTGTTAGGGGATGGGTATATAATAATAAATAAGATCATTCTTTTCAAGGACTTTACAATTTAATCTAATTATTCAAAAAATAAGTCCACTAACTAAGAGATATATCCAATTCTGTCAATCCAAATTATTTGAAAGAAATCATGCTAGGCAATGGGGATAGGGGTGATGTGAAAGTGAATTCAAAAATGAATAAAGATAGCCATTCTATATAAGTAGGAACCTACTCTACTTGGACATGAGATACGCAGTTTACACTGAAATTTAGTTTCCTTGCTAATAGCTTCAAAAAGCCAGAAACACAATTTTCAACTTTTAGAAAGCAGTTTCTCAGTTATCTTAGCTGCTCGATTGTCTGATTACATTTATCCTAAATGCAACAACCAAGTAGTTGGAGACTTTATGAAATTAAAATAGCTCTTAGTACAGCTTTGCAAGCAGGTTTTCAAAATTTGTCAGGTTACCCATTTCTTTACCTACACCACTTTTTTTCTACTTCCTTTCCTTTATTCTACATATAGTTCCCATCCTAAGTATTTTTTCCAAACTTTCTACTAGGAAGCCTCTTTTGCTATTATTGAGGTTACTTTTTTCCCTTTAATTCCACTGACTTGTAATCTTACCTCTTATTTTTCTTGAGCAAAAAAATAAAAACAAAAAGTGCAGGGCAGTGGCCCAATTGTGGCCCTCTGTAACCTCTACCTCTTAGGCTGAAGCAATCCTCCCAGTAGCCTGTGGAGGAGTTGAGACCAGAGGCAAGCGACACTATGCACGGCTGATTTTTGTATTTTTTGTAGAGATGGGGTTTCCCCATGTTGGCCTGGCTGGTCTGGAATTCCTGACCTCAGTGATCTGCTGCCTGGGCCAAAGTACTGGGATTACTGAGCCATGGCACCTGGCCAACTCTTATTTCTGAATTATGTTTGAATCATTTATTTTCCCCATTTTATATTACATTCCTATCACTTTTTAAAATCCCAGATAAAGATTTTAAAGCAAAACAAACTATTATTTTAAATATTTGCAATTTTCACATATTAGGACTACTGTCAGAATGCTGGTTTGACCCAAATAAAGTCTGTTCTTAAAAGGACTCTTTCAAAACAGATGACTCATCAGTTTTAAAAAACATTCCATCATTGGGTTAAACATACAAAGTGCATCCTTCCATGACTACAACTCAATCAGAAATTAAAGTTTAACTGCAGAGTGGTTTCTCATACAAATGACTGGCAAGAAAAAAAAGACTTTCCTCTTTTTTTAAGGAGGAAAGCAATTCAATGTTATTGATTATACACAACCACGTAACTTTCTTATGCATAATCTTTGTGGAAAAAAACAGCTAAGCATTTTTTCTCATTTCGATTATATGACATTTCAGTCATTAAATGTAATTTCAGAAAGGACTGAGTTTGGGACAAGGATGAAAAACATGTTAATTAGAATTACTAAATTAGTACCAGATTAGGATTTTCCCAAACAGTTGTTTTGACCTTCAGTACAAACTCAACGCTGATTTTTAAACTAATGCATTAATCTGAGCTATCTCAAATCATGGAACCGCCTCCATGACTCCCAAATGCACTCCTAGACACAACTTAGACCAAAAACCACGTATGTGCTTCTGTAATTACAACGGGCAAAACGTCCTTGATATATATTTACACTTTAAAAAAGAAAAAGATAACAATCCTGTGGGGCAAGTAGCGCAGGTATTACCCATATTTTATGCATGAGGCAACTGAAATCAAATCCCTGACCTAGGCTATTTAACAGCGGAAACCCCATAAAAGATACGGGGGTTCTGATGTCTAGTCCAGCTGCTTTCACATTTCGAAGTCGGCTTTGTTAATCCTTGGACTTTAAATTCCTGGGGTTTTCTGTTCCGGAGATAAATCACTAGTAAATTCCTGCGTGCTCAGAGTCCTGGAGACAGGGGCCCCACTTTTAAACTGAAAACAAGTGGGCGGCGCACGTGACACGCGAAGCCTCAAGGCCAGATAACCGACCAGTCCTTGAGCTGTTTACCGAGGCGGTCTTGGAGCCCTGGAACAGGTAACCAGGCTCCAGCGTCTGTAAAGCGCGGCCGCCGAAACCCGGCGAGGCTCCGATGACAATTTGGCAGTGTCTAGGTCTCTGCCTCAGCTCTGCGCAGTCCCTGCGTCGCTCCAACCCCTCTGCGCCGTGCGCCTCGTGAGGCGGAGCCATCTCCGGAGCGGCGCGCGCACCTTAGGGCCTCGCGTCGCGTGACTAGGCCGCAGCGCACAGAGTTAGCGCGCGCCCGCACGCGCCACTTCCGAGTCTGCTCCTCGGTTCAGGTTTCGGGGCGCCGCAGAGGTCCCGGCCCGTGGACCGCGTGCGGCGCTCTGGAGAATCCAGCGCCACGCGCCTTGCGGTGGCCAGGATGGAGGAGGCCGGAGCGGCGGTGGTCACGGCCGGGGAGGCCGAGCTAAACTGGTCCCGCCTCAGCGTGTCCCCCGAGACGCTGGAGTCTGAGCTGGAGGCGCGGGGCGAAGAGAGGCGCGGCGCGCGGGAGGCGCTGCTGCGGCTGCTGCTTCCTCACAACCGTCTTGTATCGCTGCCGCGGGCGCTGGGCAGCGGCTTCCCGCACCTCCAGCTGTTAGACGTGAGCGGCAACGCGTTGACCGTGCTGGGGCCGGAACTGCTCGCTTTGCGCGGCCTGCGCACGCTCCTGGCCAAGAACAACCGGCTCGGCGGGCCCAGTGCGCTGCCCAAGGGCCTGGCCCAGTCGCCGCTCTGCCGCAGCCTCCAGGTGCTCAATCTCAGCGGCAACTGTTTCCAGGAGGTGCCTGCTTCGCTCCTAGAGCTGCGCGCGCTTCAGACCCTGAGCCTGGGCGGCAACCAGCTGCAGAGCATCCCAGCTGAGATCGAGAACTTGCAGAGGTGAGCGCGTGTGCGCCAGAGGGTGCCGAGGCCTGGGGTGGTGTCTGGGAGCCCTGGGGCGCCGGGCTTGGGCGCTGCCCGTTGGTCACGTGACTATTTCCAAGCTTTCTTTTGAACTATGGTAGTGAGTTCTACTCGGCTATCTCAGCAAGTTGTTGTAAATACGCAGTATGATCGCGTGTGACAGTGTTCGGTATGTTGTGTTTGGCCTATCCAGATTCTCGAGGCATTTTTTCTGTCTTCCTTATTGAATCTGGGGCGTGGTCCGAACTGAGTGGGAACTCAAAACAGATGTAAATCAGAGTTTGTCACTTCTTTGCTCAAAAGCCTTCCGTGGTTTTTATTCTCTATAGATCAAAGTACATGCCTTTGAGCATGGCATACAAGGTGCTCTGATCTGACCCTTGCTTTCCACTACATTTGCAGCTTCTCTGGGGCAATACCAACTACTATTTGTCGTGTTCAGTGACCCATGCATTTTCCCACATAGGGAAAGCAGCTTGAAGTTGCTGGTAGTGCCTCTGTACGTGTGCTGTTTCCTTTGCCTGGCATGTTTCCTTCACCTGGCAAACTCCTATCACCCTCCAAAAGCTATCTCAAGTTATCATCTCTGTGATTCCTTCTTTTTCTACTCCCTGCACAACAGTTAAGTATTGCCTATACTGTACTTTCTCTGTACTTCATTCATCCTGCCTTTACGTTTACCTTATTGAATATAATTCCTTATTTACAGGAATCATCTGCTTTACCTGCTAGATTATTCAGTAAATGTATGTTAAATTTAACTTTAGGAGGAAGCAGAGAAACAGAATAATAAAAGTGCCCGGTAGGGGAGTGGAAAATAGAACCAAATGTATTGTACACAACGAAAAAGCAGTATCTTCCATCTGTAAGATATTTTCACACTTTATTATATTTTCAGAGATAACAAGTTAAAGGTAGAAGGGACCTCAAGGACCTAGAAATAGAAATTCCATTTGGCCCAGCGATCCCATTACTGGGTATATATCCAAAGGATTATAAATCGTTCTATTACAAAGACACATGCACACGTATGTTCATTGAGGCACTGTTTACAATAGCAAAGACCTGGAACCAACACAAATTCCCATCGATGATAGACTGAACAGGGAAAATGTGGCACAAACACACCATGGAATACTATGCAGCCATAAAAAATGAGTTCGTCTCCTTTGTAGGGACATGGATGAATCTGGAAACCATCATTCTCAGCAGACTGACACAAGAACAGAAAATCAAACACCACATGTTCTCACTCAGGCGAGTGTTGAACAGTGAGAACACATGGACACAGGGAGGGAAGCATCACACACTGGGGTCTGTTGGGGGGTAATGGGGAGGGACAGCAGGGGGTAAGGAGTTGGGGAGGGATAACATGGGGAGAAATGCCAGATATAGGTGATAGGGGGTGGGGAGGATGGAGAAAAATAAATAAGTAAAATAAAGCTTAACTGGGAAAAAAAAGGGGGGACCTCAGAGCTTAGTATAGGGAAAGAATATTGGCCTGGGAAAAAAGAACTCTTTGTGCCACAGCCTTAGGCAAGTCACTTATGTCCTAACTGTCGCATATCCTAACTGTAGCTTTCTAATCTACAAAATGAAGCATTTGAGCGAAATGTCTCTTCATTTACTCTTTAATAAATACTTGTTGAATACCTGCCCTGTGTCAGGCACTGTTCCAAATATTAGGGATACAGTGGTGAACACGATCCTGCCTTCATGGAGCTAACATACTAGCAGAGGAGACAGACATAAAACAACTATGAACCTCATTATTTAATTACAGTGATTATCAATTCTATGAAAACCTACAGAATGCCTTGAGGCAAAATGACAGAGGCACATGGGAAAGCCCAGAGGCAAGGAGAGTACTAAAATTCTGAAAGCAGTACAGTACGGAGTGAGCAATTCCTCCTGATCACAAATAGAACAGCACATAAGTGAGCAAGTACTGGGAATTGAGCAAGCGGGAAAGTGGCAAATAACAGATTTGGGCAGATTAGCCCATATCAGGTCTTGAAGGCTATGATAAAGTTTGGATTTTATTCTAAGTGCACATGAGAGTTTTAAGCATGTGTCTTGTTGCTGTGCAAGAATGGAGTGAGGAGAGGGTAAAGAGAGAGATTTTGAGGTCTGGTTTGAAGGAGGTCATTGTAGTAGGATGAGAGATGATGATAGCTTATACTAGGAGAAATGATAAGAAATGGAAAGGTTGGAGAAAGATTTAGAGGTAAAATTGACAGCCCTTGGTTCCTTCTAATTTTAATGTTACATAAGTCCAGCCTTGGAATTTTCTTAATATACTAACAGGAACCCAGGGAAAGTATTATTTCCATCTCATGGGGAGGAAAGTAGGCAAAAATCCCATTTTTTAGATAGATACTGTCATAGGTGCTAAATATGCTTTTTAATTCTCACAATGATCCCATGAGATGATGTACTCCCATTTTTCAGAGGCAGAAACTGAGGCTCAGAGAAATTAAGTCACAAGATTACAAGGCTAGTAAGTATTGGAACTGTATTTGACCTCTGTGGTTTATGACTCCAAACCCTTGAATTTTCAACAGTGGCAGAGTACTAGAACCTGAGTCTTTGTGGGGAGTGGGGTATTGTGGTTGGTTTTTTTTTTTTTTTTTTTTTTGAGATGGAGTTTAACTCTTGCCCAGGCTGGAGTCCAGTGGCATGATCTTGGCTCACTGCAACCTCTACCTCCTGGGTTCAAGTGATTCTCTTGCCTCCACCTCCCAAGTATCTGTGACTATAGATGTGTGCCATCATGCCAGGTAATTTTTGTATTTTTAGTAGAGACAGGGGTTTACCATGTTGGCCAGGCTGGTCTCAAACTTCTGACCACAAGTGATCCACCCACCTTGGCCTCCCAAAGTGTTGGGATTACAGGGTGCGCCACTGTGCCTGGCCTAGAATCTTTGGACTTCTTACTGTTGGATTTGTGATCAGGAGGATTTGTCGAAGTCATTTACCTAGTTGACTTAATTTTCTGGGCTAACAACTGTGCTATCTGTTTTTATTGTTCATTGTGTCTTTGATGCCAATAATGTGTTCTTATTGATTGTTAGCAGTAAAGAGAAATAAAGCATGCAACTGAAAAATGTAAACTCCAAATGTAAACTCTGATTGAGTGTAGGCTAAAAGAGTCTTGTAGAAATATACTCTGAGCTAGAAACAGCCTTGGCAATGACCCAATTCACCCTGTTCTATTTACAGATGAGGAAACTGAGATTTATTATAAGGGACTTGCTTGAGGCCAGATAGTGACAAGTGAGAGTTACAGCCTTCAAACACTGCTAACTATTCACTACTAATATGATGCATTAAAGCTTCAAAAATGTAGAGGTGGAAGTTTAGTCACTTAAACCTTAAAGTACCTGTCCAAGAACACCATCTTCTCTTAGGAAATATGTGGATTCTCTAGATTTCAGTGGTTACCCTGATTTATATTACATACTATGCTATGCTGCTTTTTAAACCAGATTAGTATTTTGGCACATTAAGAAGATATGTGTCCTATGAAAGAGCAATTTTAAAAATAGTACAGACTATATAATTCATGGAAACTCCCTGACTCCTTCCACTCAGCATCATTTCAAAAAAGAATAATAAATGAATACTCATGGCTTAATTGGTGTCATTGACCTCTCCAGATTTAGCAGGGTATCTATATTTTCTATACCCTGTTGATTCTTTCCCCTAGTGGCAAAATCTTTTTTTTTTTTTTTTTAATTTTTTAAGCATTTTCTGAAGGATCGCTTTCAAAGTGTAACAAATAAGTAGATGCTGAAAATCGTATTAATTTTTATGATTAACTTCATAACCCTGGAGTAAATTAGACTATCAGTGTGAACCATATGGTTGTAGATATAGATACTTTCCATCAAAATGTTGTTATTCTTCAGCAAATAAATATACTTGTTTGGCTATAGTATATGGGCAGATTTGTTTTTGTTATATAATGCTGAAAAAGCAGGTGTAATTCATATTCCGACCTATTTATTTTTCTGAATCTCTTTATTCTTCTCAGTTAGCTTAAACATTCATTGAGGAAGAGCTTAATAGCTTATCACTCAATGGCCACTAGACTTTATTTAAGTAAACAAAAGTGTCAGGGTTGTTTGGCAAATCCAGGATGCTAGTTATTTGGAGAGTAGGTTTGAACACAACTCAGTTTCATTCTTCCCTACAGTCTTTTCTTCTTAAGTAATGCCTTCCTTTTTCTGTTCATGGTGCTTCCCTCACTATCTGTTTGATGTGGTTTTGAAAGATTAAGATATGAGGGTGTGACAAAAAAAAAGCTAAAAGTTAATGCTGTGGAATGTTTTGAAGTTAGTGTACAATAGATTGATATCTTAGGAAAGAGATAGATGACTCAACCAGATGATAAATAGAATACAGTAAAGTTTAAATGAAAGTACTTTTCCACATTTAGAGTCACATATTGAGTTTGTCACTCACTGCCTTTCGGCATCTTCCCTTTGACTTTTTTTATTGTCTTAATTTGGGGCAAATATCAAGAGATGATGCATTTATTTGTATGTCTGCTTTTAAACATATAGGTACATTAAAATCCTGTGGTAAGTGATAATATTTGAAAATCATTTAATACAAAGATGCTACTTCAAGAAAACTACTTTCTTTATCCGAAGATGTTCTTATCTTTCTGTTTCTTTTCCTTTCTGTTTTCTATCTCTTTGTACATCCCTATCTTACTATAATTTCATCTCACTGTAACCAATCATGTAAGATGGGATTAATGTATATTTTTGTTTGTTTGGTTTTGGTTTTTTTGTTTGTTTGGTTTTGAGTCAGAGTCTCACCCTGTTCACCAGGCTGGAGTGCAGTGGCGTGATCTCATTTCACTGTAGCCTCTACCTCCTAGGTTCAAGCAATTATTCTGCTTCAGCCTCCCAAAAAGCTGTGATTACAGACACCTGCCACAACACCTGGCTAATTTTTTTGTATTT